AAGGTACCTGTTTCGCCATGGCAGTGGGAGGGGGCCGGGGAAGCTGCATGTCGCATGTCGGGATGGTCCAGTCCCTGCCATGGGGAGTGGGGAGAAGAGGAGAGGTTCTGTGGCGTTTTTAGCCTTGCAGAGATTCGGACTGAAAAGCTCAGAGACGCAGGGAGGCCAGCCTGTCAGGGACAAGGCAACCCCACCAGCCCCGTCCGCACTTCGCAGCCCCGGCTGACGTGTGTCAAGCCCCAGGTTTGCTCCAGCCATTCACAAAGCAGAATTATAACACAAGATAAAAAAAAAACAATTCATGTCCCTTAGGGTAAAAAAGAGGATCAATTCATCACTCGATATATAATACAGCCAAAATGAGCTGCTCAAACAAGCACACACACACGAAAATACTGTGAACAGAAAAACACGAGAAAATGGCTAAGCTGGGAGTCTCGACGGGGTATAGACGTTGCTTAAAGCACTTATCAGTCCCCAGAAAAACTAAACCAAAAGTCACTTTTTAAAAAAAATTCAAAAACGCATGTACCCCCTGGGAACCTGGCGTCGGTAACCGGGGCCAGGGGGTGGGGGGAGGAAGGAGGACTGACGGTCCCTCTTCGCCCCGCGTGTGACCGCGAGCCCGAGCGGACCGGGCCCCCCGAGGGCGGTCTCCTTAAAGGCAAGGCTTGCGTTTTGGCTGACGAGCGGCTCTCTCGGTTACCAGTCCCTGCCGACCAGCACTACCATGGCTGAGTTGATCTACCGTTTTCCTGAGTAAACTGTTCACTGGCTACAGTCCGGGTAACAGGGAGGAGAACAGCTCCTACAGCCAACTTGGATAACTTGAGAGATTCCCCCGCGCCCTCGGTTCCTCATTCCTAGAGCATCTGATTCAGGAACTGGAGACCAGGCCGCAGCCTGGGCCGAAAGCCTCATCTGAAAGGCAGGTGCCCCGACTCGACCGCGCTCACTACCCCGGGGGGCGCGCGCTGGCTGAGGACACCCGGCGCCCACCCGGAGAGGGCCCTGCTCCGCGCTCTAGCTCCTGGATGGCTATTGCCTGGGTGGTCAGTAAAGCAAGTGTGGAGGAAGTACGTAGGAAAAGGGAAAGGGAGGGAAGAGGCTTCTGGACAGTAACATTACCAAAAAAAAAAAAAAGAAAAAAAAAAAAAGAAAGAAAGAAAGAAAAGAAAAAAAATAGTATTTTACGTAACAGAACCAAGTCTCACTGGTGTGTACTACAGATGGCCAGACATTTTCAAGAGCGTGACAAAACAAAAACACACAGATTTACGTCTGATGTTCACCTCGCCCACTATTCTGTCTTCCTGTCTTAAAACAGTGCAAACAGGTAACGTATGCTTTTTAAAACACCACTAGCCCTTCCCCACCCCCGAAGTCCCTTTCTTCCTATCATTGCGGCGGGGGTGGGGGTCTGCAATCCTGCAAATGTTACTGTGCTAGAGGTCGCAAGCAGCAGAGGAGGCCAGACTGGGTGAGAGGGGAGGGCGCGAGCCGTTTCCCTCCCCGCTCCTGGCCAGGGCGCCTCCCAGAGGGGCCCCCACTGGGTCCCGCTGTCCTGTCCCAGGGAAGGGGGTTATGAAGCCCTTCTGGCAGACCCTCGGGGCGGCTTCAATCCCGAGTTTAGGACATCCCTCCCACCTGGAAGCTAAGTGACTGGTGATGGGGGTAGTGCTCATCTACGTGTCTGCAACATCGCTAGGAATAGGAACGGGAACCTAAAGCAAGAGCGGTTCAGCCCCTGAGGAGTTAGACTTTTGAGGAAAAGCGGCTACCACTGGTTTCTATTGAATAATCTCCACTAGCTCCCCTTGAACTAAGAGGGGGGCCCCAGACCCCTTCTTTTTCAAGGAAAAATAACATTAGCTCAATCCCACCCATGGCTGTCGGAGGATGGTGGTGATGGGAAGTCTGGGAAAACCTGAGAGCCTTAAAAACGGTGAGTTGCAGTGGCTGAGCCGGGTTCACGGGAGCTGAGCCACAAACACGGATTCGTGGCCGGAAAGGACCGAAGGTTAGCTCTCTGGGCCGAAAGAGGGTCAGGAGATAAAGGTTTTCACTAGCGGTCTCCTTACAGGAGGCCGGCTTCTAGGAGTGAGATGCTAAGTACGCAAGTCCACGCCGTGAGCTAGAGTAAAGCTGTGGAAATCATTCATGTGCTGTGACTCAGCATCAGCGTTTTTTGGAATCATCAACCAGCATCCTCTAACGACCCACAGATGCCAAACTCCCTTCCGCCTCTGTTTCCTAGTCCAACGGGAGCCAGAGCCGGGAGTGGACAAGCACTGGTGCTTCGAGGAACCTGCCTCCGGTGAAGCTGGCCGCGCGGAGTTTCAGAGCTCAAAGGGAGATGGGGAGGCCGCTGTGCTCTCATCTGGGCGCTCACAAGAGCTCCTACTCTCGGTGCTGACGCTGAAGAGCAGAGGCCCTTGAGCGAAAGCGGAAGTCTGCTTTGCCTCCCTTAGAAACAGGAGCTGGAGGAAGCCGTGCTACAACCATCCCTGGAAATGCAGCAGAACGCACAGAGCTTGCCTGCCGAGCCGTCAGCCAGAACCAGCTGGACTGAAACGCAGTAAAGGCAGCCCAAGCCCGAGCTTCTGCCTCTTTTAAAAGTGGGAGCTGCCTTCTCTACCTTGCCCGCCATCCTTGTCTCTTTCTTGGAAAAAAGAAGAGAAAATCACTAAACTCATTCCCCTATTCTCCTCCCCTGCTACAGACACAACCATTTAAAATTTGGCCTTGTCTCCACTGCGCAGTGGCTTACGATTTCTGCGAATGGCCCCTATTTGAACATGACATGAAATTTCTCCTTCTTTAGTGAGTAAAAGCTCTCCCTCAAAACAAAAGCAAAAGAAAAGACAAAAAAATCTTCCCTGCCCCCATTCCCTAGAACAGTGAAAGCCCCACATCCCATATCCCTTCCTCTAACTAAAATATTTATATACATACAACAAAAATTGTCTTTAACAGCAACGAACCAAACTTTGGCTTGGGGAGGGGAACCCATAAAAATGGCCAATGGCCCGGGGCAGTTTGATGTCCCCTAGTCCGTGCTTTCCTCCCCAGCATCAGTAAGATTGCATCGAGGCCTCTAGCTTCCTTGATGTCTCCCTCATTTCAGGGAAAGCCTCTCCCCCACTCATCGGCAGAGAGAGGGCTCCACAGGGGAGAAGGCATGTACTTTACACAACAGGCCAGTGCCTCCCGGATAGATCACTCTGCTTACAAAGAATGCTTGATGCTGTCATAGGTCAGTCATTTTAATTCAGGGACATGAATCAGTTATCAGTCAAGAACATGTGTGGAGGCAGAAGTAAAAAAACAAAACAAAACAAAACAACAAAACAAATGGAAAACAAACCCATAACAAACCGGAAGCTCCATGTCTCTGAATTACTCCCTTTAGCAGCTGTCCCTTGGGTGAGAGGTCACCCTAGTACCAATGTGAATAGACCAGGGAGCCAAACAGACCGTGCTTTTCTGTTTTCTAATGCCTTCGTTTTGGAAATGCTGCAGGACCCTTGCCTTTATCGCTGACAGCTAGTAGCTAGAAGAGAAACGCCTTCTCCCCTACTTTGTCTATATGCATGAAGTCAAAGCCAGGGGGGCCACAGGAGTGACTCGCCGCAGTGGCCACCACACGACTCTTTCTGGCAACATGAGATCTTTGCCAGGTCACACCCTCCTTCCACTAGGGGAGGGGAGGAACCCCGGGGGCTCTGGATTTTGTGTCCTGTAGTGTCCACGTATGCCAAGGGGTCAAGTGCTCGGTTGGGTGTCTTTGGAGGATAATGAGGAGCCAGGCGGAGAGGCCATGGGAGCTCAAGACCATGGACACAGAAGTGGCTCACAGAATGCTCTGGAAGATGGAAATTCCTATGGCTTTGGAGCTAGTTAGTACAAAGTACCTTTGCCTGCCCCTACACGCCCTGATCACCACAAACTTCCAGGGACAGCCGCCCCAGGACCCGGTGCTTCATCTCTCGCCAGCACTCTTCGTATGCTTCATACCTTGTACTGACCTCCTGAGGCCAGAGAAAGCACAGGAATATCAGAGCCCTGCCGGACATCATCCGAGATCCCTTTTCTCTTCCTTACCCTCTTTACTGGCTCCCGACACTTCATACTTCTAACCCTCCAGCCGAGAAATGTGGTCGCTATTTATTCTCCTGTCCCTCGGTCCTAAATTCCTGACTCTTGAGGACTCGGGAGCAGGGAGTTCATAGAAGGACAGATGAGCTAAGCTGTGGTTCAGAGAAAGGGGAAGAAACCCAGCAGGAGTGCTAGGATCTCAGGAAAAAAGAGAATCGTCTTTTTCACACTCCAGAGTTCATTCTGAGATCAGTTTCCTAATGAGGTGTTTATTAGCCACAGTCTGAGAGCATGTTTGGAAATATTAATACTATAATTCCAAAGACGATGCCAACTGTCTCAGGCTGTGCAGGTAAGATGATTGTAAAAAGGATGGAGAAGACAGGAGGGAAGAGGAGAGGAAAGTGTCTTTTTAATCCTCTTGCTTTGCAAGCACAAATTCCTGTCGTCTATCAGCATGTGGATTCCAGCCACAGCCCATCAGAACCGCCTGCCGAAGACCAGAAACTCAGAAGACTAGAAGAACATCCCGTTGCAGAAAGATCTCCTCCACGTGTGCTCGCCCCCCAGCCACTCAGCACCGCATGCACTTTGGTAGCTCTGTCTGCTGATCTCTGATCACATGTGCTCATCAGCTCCTAGGGTCTCCCCTTCCTCATTAACTGCCTCTTCCGTGATTGACAGAATAAGCTAAGCACGGACATACAGACATGGAAATGCATTATTTTTTTTTTTTTTACCACAGTTAAAAAAAAAAAAAAAAGAAAATTAAAAGAAAAAAATGCACAATCTTTGGAACAAAAGAATTAAAGGCAGAAATGTAAAGGAAAAATACATATTCAAAGAACATAGTGAGGTATAAAAAAGTATTCTCTCTTTTTTTGTGTTTTTTTGTTTGTTTGTTTTCCTCTTCATCTTGCTATAGAGTTCCTCTACTAGTAAATATTGCAATAGCCAGGCCTCATGAACTGGGGGGCTGTCCCATTTGCAGGGTCTCACGTCACTTCAGTAGGGGGCAAATCGGCTGTAGCCACCTCGGTATAAACTCGCCTGCAGTGATTAAAGACATAAAAATAATTAAAGGTTGATGAGAGAAGCACGGAAAATGAAGGAAAATGTCCTTTAAAGGGAATTGGAAGCAACTGGTAAGATGCTACCTAGGGCAGCGGAGTCAGGAAACCGACTTCTGCCTCTAAGATGCTCAAGCCGGAGCCCAGAACGCTTACCGAGGACCTGACCGTCTCAAGAGAGCACGGCAATGCTTTGTTCCATTATTTACAGCCATGGGCACAGAAGGGAAACTCAATAGTTTAAAACCAGCTCTGTAAATAATGTGATGCTTAAAAGCACGAGAGTGTTTGTTTACCTCGATCACATCACAATCGTGACCTGAAGCAGCTGGCTGATTTCACCTTTGTCCATGTCACCTGTCCGTGGAGAAGAGGCTCCTCTGACCACCAGTGGTCACGTCCCATATCTGAGACGGGGCTGGATTTAAACCGGAGTCAACCTTCCGACTCATTCTAGCTCCTCTGTAATCCAGAATATATGCCAACTAGGCTGCCCGTGGACATACCTGAATTTATTTCTATCTGTCTCTCTGGAGCTTTAACTGGGCTTTGTTCCTTTATCAGGATTGGACTTGTTATCTTTTAGCACATAAAATAGCACATAAAATCTCAGGAACTTCCGTCACCAGCTTTATTCTGTCCGTCTCTACCTCAATTCCACACCTCCATCCCCTTAGGGCCCTGTTACTTCCTCCCACAAATCTTCCTATCAGGGGAAACTGAGTGTGAGAAATGACGGGTTCTCTCATATTCCTCCAAGTCTTAAATTTCACTTCTCACTCTGCCTCCCCGTCACACACCTCCGTCCGCGTTCCCAGGCTGCTGCCTGGCCAAGAACATTAGGGGTGCTGCTGTGGAACCACAGACTGTGCAGGATGCAGCCTGGAGGCCTCCAGAAATACGGCCGTGAGGATTCCAGTTCGACTGGAGGAGACTGGGGTGGCAGTGGGGAGTTATTCTAGATGAGCTCTATGGACCTTTCCTACCCTTCCAGGAAAAAATCCTATTTTGCCACAAATGTTACTGATAAAAAAATGTGGTGGCAGTGGGGAGTTATTCTAGATGAGCTCTATGGACCTTTCCTACCCTTCCAGGAAAAAATCCTATTTTGCCACAAATGTTACTGATAAAAAAATGTAAAGCATTCACTGGGTGATTTCTAGCACCAGCTGCCAGAAGGCTCAGGAATGGCAGGGACAGCCTTTGGTATCGGCATCAGCAACTAATGTCCGTTTTTGGAAAAGCTTAGTGTGAAAGCTGCAAAGTCTCGTACCCCTACATCTTCCCTAATACGTATCAATGAAACAGCCACAGGCATGCACCCGACAGCAGAGCCAATAGAAAACGTCAACTTGCTCCTTTCTTTCTCTCCCAAATGATGCGGGGACTCAGGGAAGACTGTCACCACTCCTTCCTCTCTGCCCTTAACCAGGCCAAGCGGCTCACACTACAACACACAGAGAAAGAAGGCGATGTGAACCTTCCAGACAGTCCTCTGTGGCTTCAGGACTTTGGCAACAGAAGAAGGGCTGAATTTATCACCACTTTAGATCTTTTGGAATCTGCAGGTACAAGTTAAAAGGAGTCAAACGGTTAAGAAACAAAGGGCACGCGTGATACTCACCACAGCGCCAACTCCATAGCTAGCGGCAGGGGCCAGGGCATGGTAGGGGTCGGCTGTGTACACCCTGCCGTAACTGGAAAGAAGAAACGCAATCAGAGAGACCGAGCCCTGGCGGCGCTCCGCAAGCATGAGAGGGTTTACCGTGCTAGACACTCGTGGGGAACTCGGGGCCTGGAATGTTACTGGGGAACTTTCTCCTTCTCCTCCCAAATGCGCTAACTGGGAAGAATTCTCAAGGACCTCTATAAACCCGAGAAAGGAAGGAATTGGGGGTGAGGAAGAGGGGGGCGGGGTCACGGCCAGAAAAGGGACAAGGAGAATACGCAGGAGCACTGGAGTGGCCTCTGGCCCACGGAAACCCCGTGTGGGGGGCCCATGCGGGCAGTGGGGACAGGAGGGCGCGGGCGGCACGTACCCATCGCTGTAGGCGGCGGCAGCGGCGGCGGCAGCTGTGGCCGCGGTCGCAGTGGCGGGCTGGGCGTATCTGTAGGCTGCGTATCCGCCCTGCAGGAGAGAAGAGAACTGACTTTACAGATACCTCTCCCCCCCACCCCGGGGCCAGACGAACACACACCCGCCCACACGCAGACAGACGCGCACAGTGACACGGGGACAGACACGAACACAGACACACACGTGGGAGGAGAATGTTTCAAACTGCCTCGGTCTGCATGTCATCGTTCCTCTGGCACAGAACGGAGCTCCGCCCGGCACAGGGGTGCGCTTTCCGGTCTGGGACGGTAGCAGAAGTAAACTCTCCCCGTAGGACCCGGTCTCAGATTTAAGAAATGAAGGCAGGATTCCAGATCCATCTTTCTTCACAGTCTTGGCTGGGGCTTTCAACAGGGCAAATATCTGCAGGGAGCTGGGGGACTCTACCAGACGGGGAATGTAAGTTACAGAACTAGGACACACTAAATCTGCACGTGTTAACTTGAGGCTCTCCCGCGGCTTTACTGCCCAGACTACGGAGATCACGGTCGGTCGTGGAAAGGTCCTCTACAGGGCTGGGCTCCTCAGGCCTCGCACGTTTGCCGCGAGGCTAAGATAACCAGGTAACATGGAGAAGGCAAACCCGGTGTAGTTCGGGGCGGGCAAACTTCGATCTGGGAGCCGACGCAGCTTGCCACCTGCTTCTGGACGCAGGTGTGAAGAGACCGTTCGGGCTCCAAAGCCGAAAATATTCACTACTTGGCCCTTCAGAGACAAAGCCTGCCAGCTCCGATCTACACTTCAGACTCAGACAAATGACATTACAAATGGCCGAGGACCCTGCAGTGGGACTCTCCTAGGGGAGGAAGCCCTCCTTCCATGCCCTGGGCATTTAACTGCATTTATTCTCCTCTCCCAAAAGATTCGGAGACTCTGACGCTCCTGTCTCATAGCGGGCTCTGGAGCTGTTCTGCCAACGGGCCCAATCTCCTCTCAGTCCTGGAGACTTTCAGATCCCACGTCCTGTTTCTTCCCCTCAGTTTAGGGGAACCAAACACCCCAAAGGTGTCCTCCCATTCAGTATTTCGAAGATAATCACAACAGTAAGTGCCACACGAGACAGGCTATTTTGGCAAGCCCTATGGTTTCCTCTTCTTTGCCCTTCTAGAATTTATCTATTTCACCTAAACCCAATTCAGGGGTGAATTTTTATTACTCTCTTCTCGCTATCAGATGTAACAGTGTTCAGCTGGTGCACTCAGACTACAGCCTTTCACTCACGCTCTCTCAAGTGGACGCACCGCCTCACGGGGGAACAGGGCTTCCCGCTCTCTAGACGGACGCCGCGTGACGCCAGCCCATGGAGAGGCAGATGTGCACTGAGTGGCCCTCACTGAACATCAGGAGTCATGCACGACTCCTCTTTCTTCTCCAAGTGAATCACTCAGAAAAGTAAACGTTTCTTTCTCAATTACATATTCGTCCACAGATACCCATATAATAAATCAGAAGATTCTAATTAATATAACTGAACACGGACAATGAAACGGTAGCCTTCTACCATGGCAGGAAGCACCCTCGGGGCTGTGTGGTCAACACGTTCGCTTTGACATCCAGCCAGGTGTACGGGAACGGGCAGGCCAGGCTAGTTTGGGCAAAGCTACACACCCCAGGCTGTGTCATATCCCCTGCTGTATCCGTGTCTGTAAGTAGATCGACCTACACATATACACGGTGTACGTGAACTAAAGGGTCTCTACCTTATTCCTTGTTTAAACTTCTAAAGAGGGCATAAAGCAGGAAAAACATCTGTTAAAGCAAAAGGCTAATCTGTATAGTTGAAATTTTGAGCTTTAAATGAACCTTTAAAGGCTCAATTCTTCATTATAACTACAGATGATTCCTTTAAGTTTAGGACTGAAGTTTGCTGGTGTGAAGTTTATAGCTGGGCTGATTTTCATAAAACTGCCTGTAAACAAGGGTAATGTGGTGAGTGAGCAGTATGTGGTTTGTCTCCTTAGCGTTCCTCCAAGCACCAAAATGATCTTTAAAAATTTAAAAAGGCAAGGTAATAAAAGCAGTTAAAGCCCAATTTATGTTTACCTGAGCAAAACATTTTTAAAAACTGAAGTTCTATGCCATAGGGCAGAGTCTACATTCTCATTAAGGGATTCTGAGGTTCAAAAGTACTGACCTCTCAGAAAGTCTCAGTAAAGTCGGAGATACTGGCGAGTCTATCTAACCACAGCTCTGAGCGGTAGGGCACTAATTCTGGAAAAAGAGGTTCTGAATGAGGTGACTGAGAGAACCACTTCCCCTCTCCTTCCTTAGCCTGTAAGAAGCCATCGGAACTGCAATGGTTTGGGGGTAATGTTATTGTTAACCAAAACAATTCAAAATGGATCAGACCATGGGAAAGAGGCTTCTTCCACACCAGGAGGAGACGGGGAGCGTCTATCTGCCACAGTCTCCTTCTGCTATAAGTGAACTCAGACTTTGGAGTTTGAATGTGATGAGGTTCTTTGCTATTTAAATTCAGGAAAATGGAACAGGGATACAAATAATCTTATTGCCAACAAAAGGCCTGAGAAGCATATCAGCATTAAGAAAAACTACACTAATTTTTTTTTTTAAAGCTGGTATTTCAATGACTACTTTCCTAATTACTTTACAATGGTGCTACAAGGAGGCCCTTTAAAGGAGAGGGGCAGATAATAGTCTAATACACTAATTTGGTCATTCATCGGTGACTGTCCCCAAATTAGAAAAGTTAAACTGTATAACATGGATTTATTTCTCTCAGATACAGTCTCACCAGAGCATCTCTGCTGCTGCTTTAAACAAAAGATACCAAAAACTGTGAGACAAAGAAAATTCAGATGTATGTATTTCGACTCCGATTTTGGAATGCATTAAGCTTCCAGGCCGAGAAATGTTTTTTTTTCCCCCCAATTTTACCTCCGCTAGCAAGTCTGAAATCTTTTACAGAACATGAGAACAAAGTGCAGTTTGAAACACCAAGGTTTTCATTACTGTTTCTTAAGTTTTTCCAAAAGAACAAGGGAGGGGAAGGGAGTAGGAGAGACAGGGTTCAGGCGTGGGGGGGGGTATGGCGCCACATTTATTAATCACATTAAAAACTAAGCATGCCAACATCTGGAGCTAAAACAACCAGCAAAATCACCACGTTCAGACTCGTATCGGCTAACTCTATCTATCCCAGCATTCTCTTGGGACAGCGGTTTGCCCTAGGTTCTACCACAAGCTCGGTGAAGTACACAGCCTCAATTACTAGAGCGTGCAGCCACAACCACCTGCCATTACGGAAACAGTCAGTCACCACTTGAGTTAACATTCCAGACCCTAACGACTGGCCCTCCCCAGCCCAAAGAAATAGTCAAGGTCGCCCGCCCTCGCCCTGGCCCACACCACAATGTTAATAATTATAACAAGCAGTAACCCATCTGTTATATCAGAGAAGGGAACAGAGACTCCACTGAGAGATTTAGAGTGAGATGTTAACATGTCTTCAGCTGACTGCACAAACAAACAAACAAAAAAAAAAAAAGAGGAGAAATAATTCATTTGGAGATATGAAGTCATGAAATAGCTGATGTGTATTGCTTTTAACCATGCACTGATGCAAAACTGAAGCAACCATTAAGAATAAAAATTAAAAAGGACATATGTATTTACACACAATCAGACCTGTTGGATCTGAAGCAGTTTGCAGACTCTATCTGTGTGTGATTTGAAATAAAACAAAAAATGGGGATTAGCATGGCCACGGCACACCCTAATGTAGGAGGGCACACATGGACTGCTTTTTGGAACCCTGAGGGCTGGATCCACTTGGCATGGCTGAGCCTGGTCCAAACACACATGTGCCCCTTTACAGGATTGCTTTCTTATTCCTTTTGTGAATGCCTCTGGAGTGTTCCCAAAAGGGGCAGCCAGATACTCCATCACTCCCCTATGCACCCTTCCTGACCCCGTGAGCTTGGGTGCCGGCCCTCGGGCACCAGCCATCCATTCTGACCCAGGGTTCTTCCGACATAGTTCCTGGGCTTAAGCAGTCTGTCTTTCCACATATCCGTGACACATCCCTAACTTCCGCTTCCAGCTCTTTCTGGGGAAAGCGTGGTTACCTTTAAGATCCTTATGTTGTTCAAGTCTCAGCTCTCCAGGATCCATCAACACCTGCTAGGGATTCTCTCCTCTACTCTGAACTGGTTTTATCATTTAATTAATAACTTCATAGTGTTGCCACACTGACCACAGGACTTTTCTAAAACAGTTCTGTTTTAACCAGAAGAAAATGGAAGGGCTCTACCTATCTACCTCTCCCGTACCTGACCTTCATCTGTCCATTAGCGTGATCTCACACGGGTAGACATTCCCCTTATCTTGAGTTCAACCTAGCCATTAATTTTATTATATTTTTGTTTCAGATTTACATTAAACAGGACTTTGGTGAGCATGTGATGTCAAGACACCTTCTTTCTACCTGGAAGACAGTGACATTATGTGACACTGAGGAGAAGAGTATTTCAAGACCAGCAGACAACACAAAAGCTTGTTCTCTGCATGTGGTGTACAGATTTATAGAATGAGGGGCGTGGGGGTGGGTGGGTGCAGAGAAAGGCAGGTGTGGTGCTCAGAGTCACTACGGGAAGCAGAGATCCAGCCCAAGGAGCTTGGGTGGAGTTGGGTCTCTGGGCATCACTTTATCTGTCCCTGCCCGATGCTGACCCCTTCCTTCTCTTGCCTCCTCCCTACTCCAGCTGAGGGCCACTGCTGTAGACGGACCCTGCAGAAGGGGCTCTTAGGACACTGTTCTTCTGTGGCAATATGGCACCCAGATTAAATGTGAGTTAACACAGACGTGAATACCAACACCTGTAATAATGAGAATATTGTTACTGTTTTTGACAGTGACCTATCTACTTTGAAAAGTAGATGTGAGAAGGTCTTAAAGAGAAGTATTGAAATTTTATTTTATTATTATTTAAAATTGGGGTGAAGGTAAGAAATGGTCATGATCAACTTCTTATCTTCCACTTATGACTTCCATGGTAGATGAGAGATGATCTTTCATGAATCAAACCTCTCAAAAACCCTAGTATCTCACATCTCTCCAAATTAGTTCATCTCCCAAATCTCTCTGGGTAGGTACAAAAATGAACTGGCCAAACTGGGACAAGCTGTCTGTGGCTCTCCTTCCCTAGCCATCCAGCTGTCGGCAAACCTAGCGGTGCACTATTATCCAAATGAACCCACTGACCTTGTTCTAAGGAGAAAGGCAAGGAGGGCAAGGGGAATACAAGTTTCAAGTTTTACAGTCCCAGTGGGTCTAGATTTTTAGGCAACTTCAAACTTAGGGAACGGCACGGTCCAATCACTACTGTGGTCTCAGTGTGGGGCCCAACTGGGGGATTCAGGACTCCTGCCCTGCATAGACTCGACTTCCTCCCTTTCCTCATTTCTTTCACGGTGGCGGGGAAGACGCCCCCACCTGCTAAGGCCTGCAAGTAGAAAAGCCCAGTTTGAACACCGTGGATAAATGCGATTGACAAACTGAAAGAGGCGGCAGTGATGGGACAGTGCACGGCACCCGCCTGGCGCGGGCGGCGGCAATGGGACAGCAGCACTTAATTTCGGGGGAGGCGCCATCGCGCACAGATCTTGACCGTGCGCGGCTGGGGTGGCAGGGCCTAGATCACACGCTCACAAGTCTCGGTTGTCCAAAAAAGCCTCTGTTCCCATCTCTAACGTGGAGCTGGAATGGTTAGTATAGTTCAATCTGTTCACTGCAATCCACAATCTGATTGATCGGCAGGTCACACTGGCGCTCCTACCTGAGGTATTTTAGCGCTAATGATTGGTTCCTGTAAGACTATTCTATAACAGAACACAGGAAGAGCAGTTCAAAAAACACAGCTGTGGAAGGAAAACAATCATACAAAAAGCCCGCTAAGGGGCTCACCAGCCTTTTCTTTCCTTTGGATGCAAGCATGCTTTTCACAGGGTAAGAATTCGGAGCAGGTTGTTATCCCTCTAAAAAGTGAATTAGGGTGGACCCTGCCCTTTCGACTGGTCAAGAAAAAAAGAGGGGCGGGGAGGACTCACGATCTCTCTGCTACAGTCAAGCCTTCTCCCTGGGGTCTCTTTACAAACTGTGGGCACAACTGCCAGATCAGTCCTCCGGAGAGGAAAGTGCCACGGGAGAAACAGGAAGGAAGCAAATGGCCAGCAGGGGTTACGGACTAACAACAGAACAGGGAAAGAGAGTTAAAAAAAAATTAAAAACCAAAAAAAACCAAAAAACCAACAACTCCACAATTAACAGCCTAAATTAGTATAATGTTAAGACAAAATGGGCAGCTTCAACTCTTTTCCCCCATGATGTTCCTTCAAGCTCTGGGTCGGTGCACTCCGGGGAGAGGAAAAACCCTTCACTCGTCCTATCGCTCATCTGTTATTTCTGAGGAAACAAGGACTCCGTGTATATGGACAGATCTCCACAGGTAGGAAAATGTACAGAGAGAAGCAGAACAGACTCAAGGAAACACAGTGTGGGGTGTGTGTGTGTGTGTGTGTGTGTGTGTGTGTGTAAAAGAAGCATCCCTCACTCCCTCACAGCTCAAGTGGGAATACCAAGTTCCCAGAGCCGCAGTCCGGTGAGCCCCGGCTCAGCGGCGACCCCACTGCACGGTCTCGTCTCCCCTGCGTGGGGTCAGATCTGACCGCGACACTGGGGACCAACTTTTCCCTCCAAGTGACTGAATTAAGATAGGAACTAAGAAACGACGATAACATTATGATTAATTCTTTTTGTTAAGAAAACACCACTGGTAAAACTAGTATTTCAGCAAGGTCACTAAATTATCTCTGTTTAGCTTCATAAGGTGATCTGGTCAGATTTAAAAAAAATTTTTTTTCAAGAGTATTTTCTCAGTAAGTACAGAAAAATCATCTCTCTCTTAATAAAATCATATATTGTGAACTAAGGAAATGAGAGACCTATAAGCAAATATTTGGTTGGTTCACTTAAGGTGGAAGTAGGCAAATCTAAATAAGGTAGCAGTAAGCCATACTTTTAAAAAAAATCCCCAAACAAAAAAACATTAGAGAGAGAGAGAGAGAGAGAGAGAGAAAACCGCCTTTGACTTAAGAAATAATTCCAGTGGAAAAGCATGCTCTAATAGATCAGATTTCAGGAAAACAATTTAAATAACATAAAGACGAGTTTCATGAGAATATGGGTACTAATGTATATGGGAGAATGTACATGCTAAGATCATATGCAAATACATAGATCTAGAAGTGTCATTTGGTATAAAAGGAGGAGTACTTCCCCAACCCTCAAGTTTCACTGTGAGCCCGGGGGGGAAAAAAAAAAGGTATCTTTCATTACTTCTTGAAAACCATCTGAGGAAAGATGTGGATTTTAATTAAAGCACTGAGAAAGGTAATGAAATATGGATTGAGTTTTGTGCTTGGCTATAAAATAATTGATGTAATCTGGGAAAGTCACAATCTCTAAGAAATGTGTATAACGAAGAGAGAGGGTTGGACCAATTCACGGCTAAGACTCCTTCAAGCATTTGTTAAACTAAGGCAAACTTTGAAGGTCTGCTCCAAAGAGGACACGTGTGTCCAGTCACCTACAGTGACCCAGAGGACTGCTTAATCCTATCTGTACTTCCTGCAACACATAGAACCTCTAAGTATATTCTGAAAGTGCATTAAAGTTTTCTGATTACATAGAATCTCTGGCAGAAATCTGTGGGAACAGCTCACTGCGGAGGTATATGCATGCCCTTACTGATTTGGGGAGCTGAAGGCAGAGAAAGCATTTCTGGACAATTCTAACCCACGCCCAAGGAATAATTTCACGCTGACAAGTTTTTCTTAAGAAAGTGTTCATGACTTGGGTGGTTAGACTAAGCTTGCATTCAGAAACAGATCATCTGGAGAGGTCTTAATGAAAGATTTCAAAGCTCGCAAACTTTTGGATTCTTTGTCAGTCAGATCACTTTGTCCACATTTGAAATAATTTGTGACAAACCAATCATGATATAACAAGACAGTTTCAGGAATGGGTAATAATGGTGTTAACATGGCTGGTAGAAACAACGGATCCTATGTGATAGTCAAATGCTCGTAAGAAGAGTCTAGGTTGCTAATTACGCCACTCGTTTCCCTCTAGATGGCTCTTAAGAAAACAGACCCGCCAGTTGTGGACCTTTTTGATAAAACAAGGCTGGAAGCACTGAGTGTCTGGTTTCCTGTCTTTATCCCCATTCTTCACTGGTATTAGCTCCTTCCACCCCTTTCACAAGTAACGCTCTCTCTAAGTATATAAAACAGGAAAACACGTAGTTCAGAAACCTTACTACCATCTATGTAAATCAAAGTTCCAATGATCTAAAGAGGGTTATGGAATGAGAAGAAAAGCAGAAAAGAGAGAGAGTTGGTTTAAACTAATATAACTATCCTGTTACTTATGTATGCACATGACGCGACAGTAATAAAAGACTTTAAACCTGCTGATCATCTCGCAAATAAATCACTGAGACACAGAACATCTGTGGGTATAGGGAAGGGAAAAGAATATGTCCAGTAGACTGACTCTAGCAATGATCAGGAAACCCAAAGGCTCAGTTTTTGCACCCAGGGGCAAGCGCAGTGGCAGAGAAGCATGCTTGCATTCTTAAATATATAAATATATATATATATATATCCACAAGGAAAAAGAAAATAAAAATTAAACAAATTATATGTAAAAACAAAACAAAACAAAAAAAAAACCAAACCAAACCAAATCAAAGAAACAGAAAAAAAAAGGCTGGCTTGTCAGGGAATGGGGTCGAGAAGGCCCCGGTGTGTGTACTTACATAGAGGTCAGCACCGTAAAATCCGTCCTGGTAAACCACACTGCAGAAAATCCACACAAAAACAAAAACAAAAAACAAAAGAACAGAAACACATTCCGGTTATTGAGGACGGCGGCATGCACATGCGCTCTACACAGGCAGGTGATGTATGAATACGGAACTGGGGCTGGGGGCCCAGCGCATCGGTGAGAGGACCGTGCAGGTGCGGTGCACGTTATACAGCTCCAGGACGTGCGAGGAGGGGGAGGAGCGCACAACTGGAAGGGACACCTGATACTCGATCGTCGCAGGAAGATTACAACCATAAAAGGCATTCCCAGAGGGCCTAAGAGAACTATCGGAAATCTGCTGGATGAGAAACAGCAAGTTTTCATACCCGGAGTTTTTGTTTTGTTCTGTTTTTTTTTTTTTTTGTTTTCCAAAAAGCTTGCTCTAGGAGGAAATTTTTCCTGAGTTTCAAAATGATTGCATGTGTATGGGGTGGGGAGAGGAACGGAGAGAAGGATCTAATGTGAAAAAAATGAACCCAAAGAATTCCATCAGGGCAGGATCTGTATGCAGAGTATGTTTCAAAATTATGTTTAGTAATTTGCTCTCAGTTTCCTAGAAGTATGTACATTTTTTTTCTGATATCCATACATCACCTGCTTTTCCACCCTGCACATTAGACATGCGATAAGATTTGGCTGATCACACAAGCATGCAAAGTATTATTATTCAGCATTTTAAGAACCAATGCAACACCTCAGAAAAACAAGTCAATCAATTCTGACCAAAGTAAACAGAGAAATGTAATTAAAAAAAAAACACAACCAAAAATACCCACAATGCATTGCTTTCACAAGCAGAGATAATGAGCTAAAGGTTAAGGTGATTGGTCCAAGGTCCAAGAATTGAAAGGTGCAGTGGGGATCCCAGATAGTAACAATATAATCCAGAGCGGGAAGGAGAGGAACTGGAAGATTTTAAGGGTTCTTTTTTGACCATAAGCATATTCATGGAACTCTGAAAAATAGAACTGATAACTGAGGTTCTGGGAGTGACCAAGGATCATCCTGTTTTATTTAAAAGGATAACACTGAGAAAGTAGCTGATTAGGAATAGAAGGGTTTATTTGCCTGTTTAGAAAAATGAATCTGTATCAAACAAAATACATGAATTTTTGTTTGCTTGATTTTTAAAATCCTGGACAACACTAAACTATTATAATCACAGGTTTCAAGCCTTTTGAGGTATTCTTCTGCATATAGACTTTCCCCAAAACATTATTTTGGGACCAAAAGACATGGAACAGCAGTAGAGATAAAAGGTAAGACTTTCTTCTTCACACTTGTTAAATCAAGATTTGGATATTTTAAATGAGAAGATCTGTTTATTGTTTATTCAACTAAGAAAGTTGGATAATTTTCACCACTGTCTTCTCTGCTGTAGTAAGTAAACTATGGTGAAGTCTTTAAATCATATTTTTAACTTGAATATGAGAATTTATTTTTTGCAGGTAGCTGGAAAGCTTCCGAATTCTATTTACAATGATATTTTGTTGGGTTTACAGGATAGTATGGCCACACTTTGCAATGGCCCCAATACACTACGCCTTTGTATCTCACAACAGGCGGACTGAGCTCGTCTGTGATGCTCATTTAGCTACTATGTTCTGTTCTTTTTCATAGTTTCCAATTGCTGTTAAAGCCTGATATTAGAAAGTGATCTGCCTCTCAACTACATTTGAGTCAAAAAGACACTTGTTCCGACAGAGTGGAAAGCACTGAAACCAAGTGGTAATTAATTAACCTTCGACTATTTCAGTAGGGCACACAGGCAAAGATTACAATCATCTCTTCTACAAAGAAGAGTGGTGGCATTAAAAACATGAATGAAGTTTACCCCAAGTTGCATCACTCACTGGGAATATTCACCTAAATTCTAGAAGAATTCTAATATTCCCTGTATCAAATGCCACAAGGAGGCTAGAACATAATGATTAATGATGAAATTAGTTTACTAAGCTGAAAAGCAATTTTAGGCCATTCCCCATATAATACTGGACTTATTCCTTGCCATCTTCCATGTAAATCGGTGGTTTAGTTAATAAAAAAGAAAACATGGGAAATCAGTGTTCAATGTAATGCACAGAGATTGGTATGATTAGACATAAAGATAAAGTATCTTTAAGCGAACATAATCCTGACACAGACTTGGCAGAGAATGGGTTCTCAAGTTTGGCCAATATGTTGAAATGAGGTACATCGAATAGGAACGAATCCAACCGTTTTTATAAAGTAACTGAGGGAGATTACAAAATAAAGAAGTCCCATGTTTCTGGTGAGTGGGAGGTATCACTTTGCAAGCATGACAGTCAACAGTCTTGGACTGAAATGGAAGGCGCCTCATGAGCAATTTTCCTGGTGTGCAGAACTTCCGAAAGGTTTGTTTTTATATTTTACTATGAGTATTTCTTGATGAAATCATACTGCATCTTTATTCACTTCTTTAAAGAGATGTCAGAGGTTGAAGGTCAGAGGTCAAGTTGAGAGCAGAAAGAATAAAATTAAAAGCAAGTCATGGCAGAAGATGGAGATGATGGAATGCATGGGAATTAAACATCTATAAACTGCAAACAAAAGTTTATTTCTAAAGCAGTTCCCTTCCAGCAGCTTCTGGAGCCTGTCCATTTCAACGTGCGTACTTGTCTAATAAAACTGCTCTAATTCTGTGCCACGGAGGACCCCTAATGGCATGTCCATTTGGTCTATGAATGAATGCTACGTTAGTATACCTCAAAGCCAATTTTGCTGTCAGAAAAGGACCTACGAAGGAGGCTCTTCCCCTTTGAGTTTTAACTAAGTAGCAACGAAGAGGCTCCTCCGCCCCTGCTTTTACTCCTCAGGAAGAATATGGGAAAAAACCTGTCATAGGCAGAGAAAAGATGAAGAACGCAAATGTCACCTCTTTGAGGAAAGGAAAGTCCTTGGTACAACTAACTTGTTGAAGTCCACTCTTTATAAAAATAGACATTTTAGGCTGACACTGAGAAACAACTAAAACCAAAACCTGCCATCTTCGCTCCTTCTCCCCCATTCGACAGCCAAGGATTGATTTGTTGCTATGGAATCAGTCCACTGCGTGAGACAGCCTCCACACCAAATTCAAAGGGTGAAGGACGCTCAGCTCCATTAGTTGTTTTACCATCATTCAGAAGCCAACTGTGGTTTAATTCTTCCTACTTCTCCCTTTCTCCCTGGATTCAATTGGACTTGGTTCATCTTTGAATTAACCTCTTTTAATCCGTTTCCTACAAAGAAAGCAAATCCATTGTGGGTAGCTAGCTCTGCTGCTCACCACCCAGGCAGTGAAACCAAAAGGGAGGGCGATGTGGTAGCCTCAGCCCCAACACAGGGTGGTGGTAAGGGGGTGAGCACAGCAGAGGCGGTCTCATACTACGGTCTTGAGCTCCTAGTTTGGTTCTCTGCAGTAGTGTTAATCCGCATTCGTGCGATGCTGAGTGAACTCCATGCCAACACACTGCTAGTAAACACAAGACAGTTCTGGCTGCTGTCTTAAGCCACTACCACGAGGGCTTAAGGTGGCCAAAATGAAGATTTATATAACGAATTGGTATTACGTTACATTCTGATGATGGTATGTTTTGGTTCTTGCCATCTAATCCATTAATGTACAAATATTCATAGAATGTCTACGATGTGGCACGGCGACATCCCAGAAGTTGTGAGAGGGCCATGGTATTCTTTTCTGTCCAGCTGCTTATTTTGGAATCTCATGCTTACCCTGGATAGGCGGGAATGGCTGTTGGAGGTACCGCTCGGACCGCACCGTATACCGTCCGCCCTCTGCCCCTCAGATGGGCTCCTCTGAAAGCGGCCGCCGTGGTGGCTGCAGTCGGGTAAGGGAAGCCAGGAACTAAAGGGAGACCCAAAATATGACAGGAATGTCAACTTGCATTCAGTCGCAGGGGGTACAATCCCAACTTGCTTTGAGCCACCTCCAGGAACGGTTGAAAGACACATGCCCCACCTTTCCTGGGAAAGAAACGGAGAGAGCCAATACGCAAAGCCAATGAGGCGCGCTCCGCTCGTCACCCGTCTTGAGTGAGTCCGCTCTGCGCCTTCTCAGTTCTGGCGTTTACACACACACTGGTGAGAAACAGGCCCAGCAGCTCTAAGAACTACGGCCGTCCTAAGGGATGAGACTTTTCACTTCTGTGGGCCGTTTACATGGATTGACATGAACTCTCTAACTGGCCAATTATTAATCTTGTCTTCACATGTTATTATGCGCATTATAGTAATTATTCTTTGTAAGAATAGTCTTTTGTGTTTGTACATGGTGCCAACCTCCGAGGCACACAATAATCTTTAGACATTTCATTAGTCCACTTTGTTCTTTTATCTAAAATGTTTTAACCCAGAAATGTAAGGGGAGAGGGAAACGACTTCTCCCCTGTAATCCTGTGGCCCTTAGGGAGGTAGGCAGTTTCTAAAGGTCTATTTTAAATGTCTCATCCTTTGGAAAGCACACAGAAACATTTATTCCATGTTCGCTGAACTCGTTTTAATTATACCTTTCACTGGAGCAAAATGGCTCAGGTCAGAATGACTTCAGCGGTATCCACAGAGCGGAGAAGAACCATTAATTCTGGAGGTGCTTCTAAATGATACTCTACGAAAGGGCCCCTAGCAGACTTGCACAGAACGTAATATATCCCACAAGCACCTATTGCTTTGGTTTTCTTTAAAATCAACTGCAGATTAAAATGTTCTACACATGTCCTCACCCGTCCCGACCTCTCCCAAGTATTTATGCTTCATGGCAATCTTAGTATCTTAGATTCTAACACAGGTTAAGCAGGACAGCATTTAACTCTCTCTCGAGAAGGTCTCCTCCGCTTCAGTTACAGTTTATACTTGAGGAAGAAAAAAAGACTAGCACACATCACTGTTTACTCCCAACAGTCAAAATCCATGCCAGGCCAACATAGGCTACTTACTGATTAAAGGAATGTAAGTGTTAATACCCCCTCTTCCCGACAGGGGCACTGCTGCATCATTGCCTAGGGACACGTCTGCTTGAAAGCTGGATGCTGATTGCATTTAAGAAAAATAAAAAAATGCAAAAAGATTACAAAGGAATAGTAGACTGAAAAACAACAGATGTTGTTAACTAGCATGACCAGAAAAATGAACGAGCTTCTACCTGCATATAACTCAGGGCCATATACCGCTCCAACGACGGGGCTTAATTTCCAACCTGGAATGGAAGAGAGAAGAGTGAGCACCGAAGACTGCGTGAGGAACACAGGGCAGGGGGTGAGGAGGGCACGTGCGAGCTGGCTCCAGAGAGCCCTACGCACAGCCCAGCTTAGCTGTGCATCACGACCTTCTCTGCAGATGCTGGCTGGGGGGTTCTAGGGAGGGATCTAGGGATCTAGGGAGACATTTCCACAGCTGAGCATCTTTAAGCAGGACTAGCACAGTGAAGGGATAATGAGGAGCTGGGGGTGGGGGCAAGGACAGGCGCAAACCGGAGAGAGAGAAAAACTGGGAGGGAAGAAGGAAGAAGGAGAGGGAATGGAAGAAGGACAAAGAAGTACAAGAAATATAAATGAATCCTGGGCTCTGGTACAGTCTCTTTCACAGAACTGCTTAGAATGTATTCCTTCTTTTAGGAAGAGGAGAAAGACAGAATATGTCATTCTACACCACACCGTGATGCATTTTTTTATATAACATCTTCACACTGTTGGCTACTCTCGCTGTTATAAAGGTATCCTCTGAGCTCAAGTTTGAGCTGATCTTTGACTCCGTGTTCAATAATACCACGCTGATGGAAATCTGGGTAAGCCAAAATCCCCTTTCTTTGGGATTTACCACTGGAACCTCAGGCAAGTGAGTAAGAAGAGACACACAGGAGTAAAATTCAAGGTACATCCCCAACTTCATGCATGTCATGGGATTTTATTTGGTAATATACATACTTAAGTTAATCAGTCATTTTAGCTAAAGTAGTACCCTTTATTTTATATAAAAAAGAAAAATGTACTACCGCCCAGTTAAGGAGAATTCCAGATGAAAACATTAATCAATAGATATTCATAGAATTTTACACATAAATAAGCAAACATGCTCCATTATTTTTCTGAAAGACTGGAGACAATATTCAAGAAAAAAGGCATTCATTCTGAACCAATCCAATCCCCATTCATTATTTTAGGTGCTCAGAGATGATGAGCACATTATTTCACCTAAAAATTGAGCAAATACCTCAGTTCAAATCCTACTGGAGTTGTAAGAACTCAGTGTTCTGCAATGTCTGATAAATCATGTTATTTCAACCAACGTAAATTAAACTGCTGGCTGAGAATTCACCAGAAGGCACCTCGAATACTCTTCTCAGAATCTTTAACCATAAGCAGCTGTAGGTCTCTAAAGTTTGGCTGTTAGGCTTGAATATTAATTTAGACTAATATTCAAAAATGACTTTTTTCCTTCCTGCCAATGCCACTATTACTTAAGCATTCCCTTAAGTAAAAATACACATTTTAATATTGGTATATAATGGTATGCGGTCAATAATACTTTGAATATGTTTAGTTTGGTACAATTTACAATATATTTTGACCTTTACAAAACCCAAAGAGAGAGTTAAGAAAGTTGCTGTCCCAGCAGGACAAGTAAATACTACACTTCTCAAGGCTTAATTTCCTAAATAATAAGCTAAGAGGGCTGGGTTTTGAAGACTTCCATAGAGTCTTCAGGTGCTAAAATTCTGTGACCGCCTATTAATGGAGACAAAAACAGAATCAGGTTAAAAAAGAATGGCCCAACAACTTAAAGCAAAATGAAGAGTCAAATCTAGAAGTAGAATTTTTGTCTTCTGAATTCCAGTCAGGGACTCTTTCTAGGACAGTGTTCCCCCTGGATCTAAAGGAAATGTGACTTACTTTGCTTCTCCTTCCTATTTTGTTTACAATGGGTTATCAAAATAACCCACTGGAAAGGGAGCAGTAATAATCTACTACAAGGCAGAAACTTGTGTTTTTGGTTTTTTTTTAAGATTTTATTCATTTGTCAGAGAGAGAGAGGGAGAGAGGGAGAGCACAAGCAGGGGGAGCGACCGACAGAGGGAGAAGCAGGCTCCCCACTGAGCGAGGAGCCCAATGTGGGACTCAATTCCAGGATCCTGGGTTTGTGACCCAAGCCAGAGGCAGATGCTCAACGAACTGAGCCACTCAGGCATCCCAGAAACTTGTTTTTGTGATAGCAGTGTAAAACAAACAAACAAACAAACAAACAAACAAAAAACAAGAGGTAAAGGGGAGGTGATGGTATCACATTATATACCATTGATAAAACAGGTAGGGAAAATGTAAATTACACTGATTCAGACCATCCATTTGAAAAGCTGAGCTACATGTATCTACTGAAGAAATACCAGAATATACTAAAATACTTGTATTTGACTTAAGACATTACCAGCACATACTATCATACTCTAGCAGTAGAGTCAAACTTTTAAAAAGCAGCAGAAAACACCCCATTTGATTCTGGATAAAATTCCATGAAGGACGCTAAAATATACGACAGAGAAGGAGTTGCTGCAAACCTCAAGACCCAACCCATGGGTTCCCTCTCCACCCTTCCCCAAGAGCCCCTAGAGCACCGCTGGCAAAACCAATGGGCACTGCAGATCCAAATTCAGTTCTGTCCCAGGTAGATAACATGCGTCCAGATTAAGTGGACACATTTGCTTTTGTCAGGCAAAATATTCACACACGTATGAAACGCCCTCTATAGCATGCAGTCCCGGGACAGAAGATGGAAAACACATGCACATGCGCCACCATGGCTGTTATCTCTAGAGCATACCTTTAGAGGGAGAGCAAGGGATCAAGAATTATTCCACTCCTGCGCAGAGTGGGTAGGGATCAGTAGTAAAAGTGAGCACTGGTGGGCACGTATTACAGACAAACCTATCCTATCACAAAGAATGATAGCAGCTAAAAATGAGAGTGCCTTAGTGGGACCCCACTGGGTTAACAGGTCACCCCAAATGACGTGTTTACACTTTGTGTATGAACTTTACCGCGACCATTACAGCTTAGTAACTGAAAAACTAAGCTTAATTCTAAGAAAAAAGTTAACTTTAAAAATAGGATACTAGGGTGCCTGGGTGGCTCAGTGGGTTAAACCTCTGCCTTTGGCTCAGGTCATGATCTCAGGGTCCTGGGATCAAGTCCCGCATCGGGCTCTGTGCTCAGCAGGGAGCCTGCTTCCTCCTCACTCTGCCTGCCTCTCTGCCTACTTGTGATCTCTGTCAAATAAGTAAATAAAATCTTAAAAAAAAATAGGATCCTCTTCTAGTAAAGTACTTCACTGTAAATTAAACTGCCATAAGACTGAAATCAAGAGAGATTCTTTGATTACCAGAAGTTCACATATTAATACAAGAATAAGTGACATCCTTCTGAAGATGACTTGTAATCTCTTACCATTTGCATATGGTGTGACCATCTTCTTATTGGTCATTACACGTGCTGTAGCATTATTCACCTAAAAATATAAAGGAAAAAGAAGGGGCAGGGAGAAAGTAGACCACATTAGGGAACATGGAGGTGCTCATCCAGTAACACAGCACTCAGTTTAATAAAATGTTAATTTCAGAGAACATTGATTTAAATAATATAGCGATATAAAATATTAATATATAGTATTTTAATTAAAGTGTTTATAAAATGAGGCTAACAAGAGTAAAATGCAGTTTCTTGGTCTCCAAATGGAAAATTTGGGCTAGTTTACCACCAAGTGCTCAAAAGGAAAGATATATTTGCAAGTTCTTTGGCAATCTCGTAAACAGAGAAGTCTCTGCATTATGGGAAATACGGGAAAAAGTCAATAGGAAAAAACTCTGTGTATGAACTTTGAAGTTCATTAATAAAACAGAGGCTTGCCATATGGGTCAGGGAATAGATTTACAGGAAGAAAATGAATCTATGGATTCCACCTGTTCTAATGTTCAGCATTTTTGAGGACTGTGTAAGATTTTACTGTTTGAAGAGGAAAAAAAATCAGAACTTAGAATTCCATGCTGACCATCTGCAGGACCATGGTGAATTTTTTAGACTATGTGGTCTATCCACTTAAGAATAATGTTTTCAGAAGGCCTTTAAATGAGGCACTCACTGAAAAAATAAAGCTCCGGTTTCTTTTGCTGTATGGTTCTCTCCACCCTCGTTACAGAAGTGCAGAATTCAGAGCATTCTCGGTGCTAGGGGAAGTAGGTGTTACAAAGATGGTGCTGATGGCAAGAAGATGAACGGAGCCTGAAGCCGGGAGACTGGAGCCCAGTGTGAAAACCAGCCTAAAGCTCTTGCAAGGAGGGTGCAGCATCACTATAGAACCTGGCTGACTGCTGTGTGGTCAAGTCAGAGAACAGGCCAGCGTTTAGAAAAAGAATTCTAAAACACACCGAATATAAATGTCTTGTTTTGCCACTGGGGATTTACATTAAAGTTATAATTTGTATGGTGATAAATTTGTGTTATGGAAAGACCAATTTTTGGTAGAACCGGAACCCAAACATGTCTTAACAGGTCCTTCAGGATTGGCAAGAGTGGGAATCTTCCTTTGTGAGGAAAAGAAACTCCATTTACTCTAGTTCGACCCACCAAATAATAGAAACATTTCACATTTAAAAAGAAAGAATGGGATACAACAATGATGACTGAGAGCATGCAGTTAGTACACACACACACAAATAAAAGAAAGAAAAAAAAAAAACAATCAGTTTTGGAAAGAAGGGAGAGAGTGAAGAGCGAGGTTCTCGCAGACAAGGATTCGAATGGGGTCAGAGCTTACACGAGCCGCTAGAGCAGAGCGCACCCAAGCGCTAAAAGGAAAATGGCCAGAACCAATCAGAAACCACCAGTCAGCAAGAGACCCATAGCCACAGGTGACAGACAGAAGGGGCAGGAGAGACAGAGGGAGAAGGATGGGGACAGATGGGCGAGAGAGCAAGAAGGCAGGGGAAAAGGAAAGAGAAAGGGGTGTCACGGGCAGCAAAGAGAGCTGTCAAGGGCAAGGAAAGAACAGAGCTACATACAGGTTTGGGGAAGGGAAAGGGAAGTAGAGGCGGGAAGTGCATTAATAAAACCAGCCAAACTTGGAGCTCAGTAACTCTGAGTAAGATGTGCAAGGGGGAAAAATCACCATGATGTCAGTAATCAAACAGCTCAGACCGCTACAAACAACATGTACATCCAAAGTCCAGGCGGCACTACTCAAGAGCATTGAAAATAAAAGGGGGAAAGGAAAAGGAAGAGGAACAAGTCAAATCACATTTTGTAGTGTTAATGTGAGATGGCAGATGGACTTTTTCTTTCTTATTTAATTGTTTTGTAATTAACAATTGAAAAAGCTTCTTGTCTAGTGCTTGGTTTCACTTACCGCCAACGGGCACCATCGCCAGCATTGTGTATAGTTACCAGGGAAAGAGGGAGTCAAGTGAAGGGCCCTAAATGCTAAACCATTGGAAAGGGAGGGAAAAAGCAAAATATGCAGACATCTTACTCAAAATGGTGGCTTTTATATTTCATACTTTAAAAAAAACTGGGAAAGGGGAAAGGAGCCAGTTAACCTTCACTGCGTTCTTAAAAAGGACTGGCAAACACCATGGGACTGCCGGGAACACGGTAAAAGCACATTCGCCGGGCAGCCGTCAGACCCTCTTGGCTGAGGATTTTATCCACTATTCCCAGTGGCAGTTTGTGATAGTGAATATACTTAAAAATGCCACGAGTTTTGGGATCTTTCTTCCCTCCCCACCACCTCTGCCGTCTTGTACTCCTTGCTCATCACACGCACATGGAGGCGAACTGGCCGCCCAAGAGAGAGGGTACTGGCTGGCTCCTTGATTCATTATAGGACACAAAGTCACAACTGGATCGTTTTTAGACATTTATAAAGTTAGTTTTATTTTGGCCTGATCACAGGTATTCGTACAAAGTCTCGCAAACTGAAGCAAAGGAAAAAAATCAAGAGAGCAGAAAGATGAACATTTTGGGGGAAAAAAGTAAATGAGAAACAAATACACATGTTCACGCACACAAGTAAATCAAAATGAGACCCCCCCACCAACAACCAAAAAATAGGGAAAAGAGGACAGAAGTGTTACTTTTACACATTTTAGTGCAAGAAGGTGAAGGACACAGAGACACACACACATACGCATGTGTGCAGACACACACACAAGACAGGGCTCCAAATGCGAAATAAGTGAGGGAATACACAAAAAGACAAATAAAAATATAAACCAGAAATTGAATTATTGAAGACATGCACCTCGATTTTACGGCCCTCTACCACGGTGCCGTGTAATTTCTCCCTGGCCCTGTCTGCATCAGCACTATTCTCGAAAGTTACGAACCCGAATCCCTGCATGCAGCGGGAGAAGGGGGGAAAACATGCACATCGTTATATTGAAATATTGATCTCTTGGTAAACAGAGAAAAAAATATCACAGTATGAAACTGACATCAGCGTCGACCCAGCAGTACTCTCCCAAAGTCACATTTTTGGTCCATGCATATTTGGTAAAGGGAAATTAAATCCAGTAACAATACAGAACTGTAGTAGTAGTAGTAATAATAATAATAATAGCAACAACAACAGCAATAATAATAATAATAGTAATGTAATTAACAACAAGAACAATAATAAAATAAAACGTAAAGCATGTGAGGCCAGACCAAAATTAAGGTATAGAGCTACTCGGGTCAAACTCTCCCACCAAGAATCTCAACATTGTTTTAGATGTTCTGTCTCTTTCAATTCATGCTGTTAATTTACATGTCCTTTTATGTAATGCTAAAAAATAATTAAATCTGTCACTCCTCAGTAACTTCTACATGAGGCCTTCCATTTAGGTGTAATCACCGCATATTGGGATTTTTAGGAGATGTCATCACTTGGCCCCACTCTGCCTGTTCTCTTGTAGCAACATAATTCCTCTGCGAACAGAATTTAAAACATAGCCTCCATCTATAATTCTGTAGGGACTGGGTGTAGAAGAAGAGAGCACCCATGTTCATCTAAGCTAATGAAAATACCACTAAGCAGTGGCCAATTATGCCTTTTCTTCAACGAATTTTAAACAACCAGACTGGCACTCAGAGTAAAAATAGGTTCAGCTGAATTCCAGAGAATAGCTTATCCAAATCTGCCTAAATTACACATTTGTTGAAGCCTACATCTGCTACTAAATGTATTAGTAATTTTCCATGTAGACGGAAAAAAGGAATCAAAAGGCAGTGCGAATGAGATCTGTTAGTGACATCAGCTGTATACTGTCTAACAGGAAAAGAATACCATAAAACAGCAATACACTTGGTCCCGAGTTAGAATTAATTTATTTGTGCACTGTACACAAAGAAATCGTATGGAGCTTTAACTCATTGAGTGGAAAATGCTGGAACCAGGGAGTTAACCCACCTACTCCTACATTCACATGTATCTGAAAAGACGGTCTTGGTCATAATCGTACCATCAATGTCAAAAGCAGGATTTACTATATATTTCTGTGACTATTTCATCAAGCGTTCTATCAATTTCATCCTACTGCTTTGTCCTCCTCTTTCCACTCTGCAACTATAACATTTTCCCAAGCTATTCACATGTGCAGAATAGTTAATTCTTAGGATTTTCTGGGCAAGTCCCCATTTCTCAAGAGCTGCACTGTCCCTCTGGCATTCTTCTAATGTTCCACTGTAGGATAACCTGGAAACCTTTGTTATTTATTTTTACGGAAGTTCTGCTTTGCTGCCCTCCTCGAGTCTTTCCATCTACATACAAAATGTGTTCTTAACCGAGATGGTCAATGGTGTGCATAGCTCAGTAAGATTTTAGAAAAGCGATTTCATCCTTTTGACGGATCTCATTACTTTGCATTCTACATGACTAAATGGTTGCTGATTGGTGATCCATGGAGAATCCCAATGGAGTATCTTTACCTGTAATCTGGGTATCACCACAAATACCTTGGAAAGTGCAATGCTGAGCTGACAGAAAAATTTAGATGTCTGCTGCTGGATGGAGGTGGACTGCTCCGGGTAATTGTATTAACATTTTCTTTAAAAATGTTAAGTATGTGGAAAATATCAATGGAAACACATTTTCAGAAACAAATTATGATACCAATATGTTACAGCCACATCGACAGCTCGAGGTATATGATCTCAGGTTACTAATTAATGACATCGTGCGTTTGTCACCTACACTGGGCTCTGCTGAAGACAGGAAGCCAGTTCTCCAATCCTGGGGCACCCTCCAATAAAAAAGTTAAGTAAACCTTTCAAGAAAGGTCACAGGTAGTGAGGAGTTTTATAGCACCCTGTGGAAGTATTGTAAACTGTGTTCCAACTGGTTCCCACAGCCTCATACAGATTATAAGACTTGGGTTAAATAAATAAATGATAAATTAGGAGCTGGGTAACAAATGATGTGGAGACCAACACCTAAGGTTTTGACGACTGGCCTTACGATTACCTACATCGACACACCCATACACTCACATACTTGTGCGTCTTGTAAATACAACCACGAGGTAGAGAAAGGATAAATCTGTTGTTTTCATTTTTTAAGATTAAGAAAGTAAATCAAACTGAGGTGAGACACCCAAGCACCGACAAGGCGTTCTTCCTTCCAGGTGGCTTCTTTCCACAGCTAACGGAGAGAAAATAAGAAATAAAGCTCTAAACTCCAAGTTCAGTATTCTATTAACCAAACTCCATTCGTCCTAAAACCTTCTAATTTTCTTTTTCAAATCCAATTGCTAAAGGTGTTCTGCGAGCCTCTGGTCTGTGATGCGCTGACCGAGCACCTGTGACTCAGTGACAGCAGCCGGAAGAATTCAGGGTGGTGTCAGAAGCCAGCAGAGCTTATACTCCACAGGAAATACTAATCAAAATGCCAAAGATAGAAAATGAACCAATCTTCACCTAGGGTAAAGGAGGAAGAAGGTCTTGCTGATGATACTCTGGGACTTCTGATAGGAAACAGAGGTAAGCAGATTTCCTTCTTTCCTTTGAAGATAAATAGACCTAGTGGCGGGCAGAACAACCGCCCCAAGTTGTCCACATCCTAATCCTTGGAACCTGTGCATGTTACCACCACCTTACCCGCAAAAGAGATTTTGCAGATGTGATTAAATTAACGATCTTGAGATAGGGAGATTATCCTGGATTATCCAGGCAAGCCCAGTATAATCACAAGGGTGCTTATAAGCTAAAAGAGGAAAACAGGAGAGTTGGAATCGGAGTGCAGCAGCCTGAGAAAGACAGAACTGGCCATTTTGGCTTTGAAGATGGAAGGGGGCTACAGGTCAAGGAAGGTGGGTCCCCTCTAGAAGCTGGAAAAGGCAAGGACTGGATTATGCCTTAGAGCCATCTGAAAGAATGCAGCCCTGCAACACTTTGGTTTTAGCTTGGTGAGATCCATTTTGGACTTACAGGTTCCAGAACTATGTACGATAACAAATCTGTGTTTTTAAGCCACCAACTTTAAGATAATTTGTTCAGAAGCAATAGGAAATGAGCATGTATCTCTCAGAAGTCTGTGATTAGAAAGGTGAGAAGTTTAGGCAGCGTTTTTAGAATACTGTTCTTTAATACTTTCCTCTTGTGTTGAAACTTTAGATTTTCTGTCAACTACAATGCGGTTGCAAGAATATTAACTCAAATAAAACCTGAAAAGAAGTTTAAGGTACCATTCTGAAAATGTGCCAGGAACTGAGCTAAGGATATTTACAGATTATCCAGGCTTAAAAAGTTACTAACAGGAAAATATGCTTACGTGAAATTATGTTTTAGTGTCCCTCCATTCTTGGAAATCTAATTCACATTAAGTTTGGTCATCTGAATCTCTTGCTTTAAAAAGAAAAATTTAATTTAAAAAACCCCCCAATGTTGACATGTTTGTCTATACCAGGGCTATCTGACAGAAATATAACACAAGCCACATACATAATTTTAAATATTCTAACTAGCCACACTGAAAAAGTAAAAATATATGAAAGTAATGTCAATAATATATTTAAAATATGTGCAAATACTATCATTTCAACGTGGCATTAATATAAAAACATTAATGAGATATTCTTTTTTTCTGCTCAGTCTTTGAAATCATGTGTATTTTACACTGAAAGCACATCTGCATTTAGAACTTGCCACATTCTAGGTGCTCAATATGGACATCGTATGGAACAATGCAGGTCTCTATGCTTTATACTATAACCTACCGCTCTCAGTTCTCAAACTCTTTCTGTGTTAACAATTTAAATAAACCAGTTTTCCATGTGTGATTTACTCCTATCTTAGCTTGTCTTGTGAAAACTGAGGAATGGGATGTCTATCAGGATTATGGTTGTGGTCAAAACTTCTACTAAGTGTGACAAACATTTTATCACCTGTCCGTTTATCATCTGTTTATCATCAAGGGCCTATAGGAGCCGAATAACTACCACCTTTTTAGTCTGGCCTCAGACAGCAATAAATAACAAGCAATAGGATGAGCATTGGAAAAATATTCTGAAATTTGTATAATCTTTGAGTTTTTCCATCTCAGAAGAATGAGAAAGAAATTTACCATGTAACTTTTAAGGGAGAAACCAAAAGCAGACGTTCTCCTGGGTATGGCCAGAACACAGAAATTTAAAAATAAATAAAAGAAAAATAAAACTAAAAACCATAAGATGGTAACAAAAAAATAAACTAAGCCCTTTGAAAATACATGCACTGTTAATTCAGTTTTACGTATTATGAAAAACATTTCAACTCAGCATTACCTATCGAATTTACTGAAAAGCAAAGGCCTAGTTAGTGCAATTTCAAAGACAGTTTTTTGACCATATTTTGAAAGAAATAAGTAATTTCCCTTTGCATGAAATCAAAATCCAGGGAAACAGGCAAGAAATTACAGCACATTACTTGTGTCTGAGGATGGGATTAGAGGCTTTATCTACCCTAACTCCAGCCTAAACCGAAGCCTAACCCCAATTCAGATCCCCATCATCCCAGATATCCATATCCACCTGAGAGAAGTAATGAGAACACATGAGCTAAAAACTTGCTAGAAATGTCAATAACGGTTGCTGCGATGTGGTCTGTGGTCCTTCAGTGAACTTAATTAACAGTTGGCACTGTCTGAAGATGTGAAGAGCTCCTACACACTCTAGTCTTTATGATACACGTCCCTTGGAGCAACAACCACACCAGAAGTAGGTCGACAAAACTTTATGGAAAATATAAATGTTAGAATGTGTACATTTCTTTGCTTAGTAATATAACTGTATGTGATAATTATCACAAACAAATTGTTATGGGTTGGGTGATAGTGAACAGAATGGTGGAGAGTCATGAATGAGTCAGAGAAAGAGAAATACTGTATGATTTCACTCATATGTGGGATTTAAGGAACAAAACAAACGAGCAAAAGGGAAAAAGAGAAAAAAAAGAGAGAACGAGGAGAGAGGCAAATCAAGAAACAGAGACTTAACTACAGAGAACAAAGGGATGGTTCCCAGAGGGGAGGTGGGTGGGGAATAGGTGGAAGCGGGGGGGGGGGGGGGGGGGGGGGGGGGTTGGGAGCACACTCCCCTCCAGGTGTCGTATGGAGTGCTGAATCCCTACACTGCACACCTGAAACTAGTCCCTCACTGCATGTTAACCAATTGGAATTTAAATAAAAACTTAAAAAGAGTTTTGAAAAGCAACACATTCTTAGTCACTAGAAGTATCTAACAGCCAATGCAAAGTCAAATTGAACTAGGTAATCATTATTTAGAATTCTGCTTAAGATTCTATGTGAGAAAAAAGACTGGAAGGAAATGCAGGAGATTATTAGTGAATATGCTCTTTTAATGAACTATTTATGCTTTTTATTTTGGGTCTGGACATGAAAAATCACGTTTTTCTTTTATAATGGTTTTGAAAAGGGTGCTTTTTAAAAGTTGTTACTCAAAGGATCTATAAGGGGGGCAATACAATTTATCATTCAAACTGGAGCACTTTGGGGGAGGAAGGGGACATTAATAATTATGCTAAGAAAAGGGCTACAGACTGGGACTATTCTGGATAAATCAGGACATACGGCCACGCTACCAATATATTATCTTTCTATTGTTTATAGCAATACATTGTTATGACTGGTGACATCTGGGGAATCAGTAAAGTTATACATATCAGTATAATCATTTTCTAGATTCTGTTTGAGTATATTCCTTCCATTTTTGGGCAGGGGTAGCATTTTTCATCATACATCCTAAGTGAACATTTTCAAAACGAGAGCCTACCTTTGTTTTAGTTAATCATAGGAAATTAGATAGGACTGATTTTATATTTTATGAAGGAGTATGGGGTTAAAAAAAAAAAGATTAAAAAAAAATCACATGGGGGCGCCTGGGTGGCTCAGTGGGTTAAAGCCTCTGCCTTCGGCTCAGGTCATGGTCCCAGGGTCCTGGGATCGAGCCCCACATGGGACTCTCTGCTCAGCAGGGAGCCTTCTTCCTCCTTCTCTCTCTCTGCCTGCCTCTCTGCCTACTTGTGATCTCTATCTGTCAAATAAATAAATAAAATCTTTAAAAAAAAAAAATCACATGAAATAATCTAAGTATATATTTTTGCATGTGTATGAATGTAAATGATATACATTCATCCCATAATCTAGGAAAACCAAATCTAGACTAGGAAGGTCAAAGACAAAAAAGGAAGATACTCAGCAATTTTTTCAGGCAGGCTGAAAAAGTAGAATGCTGGCAAGCCAGGGTGGGAGGGATGGGGACGGGCAAGGCAGCACGACCGTGCTCACCTGTGTTTTTAAGTGAGAATGTTCTAAAACCGTAGGCTGAGTGTCTCATTATAAAAAAGAAGACATGTTGCTTTTTTGCTTTGGAGCCCTGTGGTTATCTGTTTCACTGATAACTGTTTTACATGTTAGTATCACTTATCTCAGAATTATTTTGTGACTCATTTTTCAATTACTGCTTCAAAAAAAAATTCAATAAAGCTAATTTTTGGACAGAAAAGCACTCAGTTCAAAGACCGAGCAACCCTAAAGTGAAGAAAAGCACCACTTATCTCCTTATCGCTGGTTCCTTTCAAGACATGTTGTAATTTTATAGTCAACCAGAAACACAGGAGGAATGAGAAAATAAACTTAATTTACAAAAAGAAAAGTACTCTTTAATTTATGTGAGGAGGATCCCAGAAGAGGTCCCTGGGTTTTGACTCCAAAATAAACCTCTGTTAACGCGTTTCCAGAACAGTTCCCAGGGAACCCGTTCCAGGAGAGAACTTTAGGTGACAGTTAAGAAGGACAAGGATGCAGACAGATTTTGTATCAGTCCCTGAAGGCAGATCTGGGCAATTCTGAATTCTGTGCTTTGTTTTAAGAACAACTGCCAATGAGTACGTAGTCAGTCTACTCTTTAGCACCCAAAGGAAAAGGGGCAGTGAGGACCCAGCATTTTACTGTAGGGAGCAGCATAGGGTTTTAGATGCCCTAAAGAGAAAAGGGAGGCGTGTGTCATTTAAACATGAAAATTACAGGGAGAAGCAACTGAATCGGGAAATTAAACAATTTTTGGTAGTAGGCAAATCTTTGAAGTCAATGAAAGAAGCCTTAAGAAAGATCGATTTCCTTTGCTTCACAAGAATTCAATCCAATTCTTTTCTTGGTAAGGAGCAAGTTCCCAGAGCCTGATGAAACCATACTGGGCGTCAGGTTTTTGGGGTGTACTTAACTCAAGTGCAGACACTTAGAACTAAAAACGTTTAGACTACGACTTTGGATAAACAGTGTCGCATAGAATCGTTACATATTTATGAGATGTTCATGCACTTCTCATCTCTAAACCACTGTCATTTTTCCACCTTGGATCTAAAAAGCTGCCCCCAAAATAAAAGCCAAGGGCCAGAAATCCACTGTGAAGAAACTACAAGCATAAATAGTTTTACTGGTTACAGGCTGAACAGATTTCACTTTAAAAATACTTACCAAGTTAAGTGCTGGAGAAAGGTCTGTATAGGCATGTTAATCTTTTTTTGTTTTAACTGAAAACTGGAAGCTTAGAGTATAATTACCTCTTTAATAATTAATAAAGAATTATTATAATCAGAATTAAACACTATCAGTGATGATGAATTCTATAAAGGAAGGGAATAATCAGGACCGTTAGAAGAGTACATACATTTGTGCTAGTTTAGATGGGGCGGGAGGCACCTGTAATTCTGTAGGTATGTGCTGTTAATTCTCAGGGTAGGGTGAATTTGGAGTGGGAAATCGAAGAGCTAAGTATTCACTCATTTATTTGCTTTCTTTAGCTTTTCTCAAATTATATTCTTAGAGATTTAATCATAGCCAAGGGGCAACTTGCAAAGTTCAGGAGAGATAACCAAATGAAAAATTAACTCAAAAACGGCTCTACATTAAAAATGCAAGTAGAAGGGAACACAGCAAGGTAAATGTTTACAAGCCTGACCACGGCTGATTGTGTCTGCGGCAGGTATTTCGTTTGTTGAGGAAGAAGAAAACTGTTGAATGAAACTGTGAAATTCGGTTCATTAAATATTTTTTCACACCACTGAAAGACTTCATCATTCCCTCCTTCCTAAAATCACTGCTGCTTATTTTAGTGCATGGAAATTCTCAATCATACAGATTGGGAATTTAAAATAGCCAATTATTAGGGGGAAATCAGTTTTAATTAGAATGTTCAGTTCTCATATAGAACACTCTTCGAAGAGAGTACATATATGGAATTGTGCACTGTTACTACTTTCATTCCGATGCCAAAAAAACCCCAGCTCACTATCTGAAACGGAAGGGATTCTATATCCCGAAGTTTACCTCTCTGGGTAGAACTCAGAGGAGGAAATCAGCTTACAGTGAATTCCTGAGTCACTAATCCCTGTTTTTACGCCTTGTCAAATTTATTCAAAAGAGAGAGCAAGTCAACTGAGGAACTGAAATATTAAATTTGTTCTAAGTATGTCATTTCAAAATCTGATTTTTAAACGCGGAATTCACAATAGAATTCTCATAGAATTTCACCCGAGTCTTCTCTCTTTTCCTTTAAAATAAGCTGGTGAGAGCGATTTCGTCTGAGAAAGGGCGAGTGTCTCCGGCTCCCGACCTCCCTCCTCACACCTGTCTTGCTCCTCCCCCCACCCCTTCCCTCCCCCAACTGAAGTATCAGGATAAAGACGGGCCATGTGGTCCCTTAGTTTGAGAGATAATCTGATCCAAGCCAGGTAGTTTGGGATACTTTCCGCAGGCTTGAAAAACAGCTTTAAATTTTCTGATTCCTTGCTATTTAAAACAAAACTAAAAAGAAGCCAGGCACACTTAATACTGAGAGGAAGCTTACCTTAGAGCCACGTTCATTAAAGATTATTTCTACATCTAGGATTTTGCCAAACTGCTGCAGAGACAAAAATAAAAAAAATTTATTCATGGTCAGCTTTTTGACCACATACTTTATTCTCTCCTGAAAAAGGCACAGGTGTTTTTTTTTTTTAACTACTTATTCAACCTCCATGTTTCTACTTGTTGGCAAGTCCCAATACCGGTTTCTGATCTTCCCTCGTCAATGAGCCGACAAGGCTTCCTGTTCCACTCCTTTTTCAGTTCGCCCACTCACGCATTACCCACCTCCACCTGGCAGGAGACGTTCTTGGAAGACCCTCGCAGTGTTACCCTTCGGGTACTTCCTCACGGACAAGAACTGGGGCTTTTCCTAACTACGTGTTTAATGTTTTAAATGTCTCCGTTTTTAAGAAGCAAATCCTAAGCAGAAAGATAAACTAGTGAAGGCTGTTTTTCTTTTTCTTCTTCTTCTTTTTTTTTTTTCTTCTTCTTTTTTTAATTGATAAAAGTAAACCATATTCACTGCAGAAGTCAGGAAATACAGATACATAAAAAGGAAAAGAGGAAACAGAGAACGAAGATCATCTGCACACCTACCATCTCCCCATTCTGGTTCACAGCCTTCGCCGCTTTTCCTTACGTATACTTGGTTAAGGACATATTTCCATGTATTACCTTTTTTTTTTTTTTTTTTTTTTTTTAATGTGCTAGACAGCTTTCCAAGCCATTAACTCTACAGTGTGTTCTCATTTCTACGGACTACATGCTATTTTCCATCGTACTTAAACATTCACGGACATTAGACATGATTTCATTTATTTGCCATTTTAATATTTCGGCACTGAACGTCATCAAGAACATTTTAAGTAATAACTCTGTTTTGTAATTAATTAAATATTTTAACATTTGGGAACAAGCTAGAAACACCGAGCCTAAATAACTGGGTTAGTGGCAGCTCAACGGCTAACTGGAGGGGCGTGCAGTCACAGTGGTTACACAGCAGAGGCGTGGAGAAGGTGACAAGCCAGCCTGTCTGCCTCAATGCTTAGATCAACTCCACAGGAGGGATGTGCAGGAAATCTCTAGGGATCTTTCTGCCCCCACTTTCCTCGGAGTACTGGCCTCACAGACCCAGTGATCTCTTTCACTTGGATTTTAAATCAGAATTTGGGAAATGTGAAAACACTAAAAAAATGAAAAAAGCAAAACAAATCATGCTTTCTCACTGGGCTGAATCATTACTATCTTTTTCAGAAAACATGTACTAAGAGCCCATGTTTTCTAGAGTAAGGCTTCTGGGCTTGATTCCAGTTTCATCATTTAACAGAACATTAGGAAATTAAAGGAGAGAAGAAAATGTCTTATTTTAGGTAGGAGGGGATTTAATTTTATTTCTATGCCTATCCAAATAACTAAGATTGGAATGGTGTTTTAGAGTTTTCCTTTTACATTCTCTAATGCGTCTTTATACCATCCTGCTAGGGTTAGGACTGCCTTCCTTTAATGGTTAAGGAAAATGCAGCTGAAGGAAGCCACCAGTCAAGTTCACACAGCTAATAAAACAAAACATGGAATCCTTGCTCTACACCGCTGCTGGTGTCTTTCCAAGGGATAGGTGCTAACTGTGCAGGAAACAGAGCAACTCTACCAGGTATCCCTTGCGAGGAACAATTTCTTTCTTTCTTTTTTCTTTCTGGATGTAGCAGCCTTATAGGAAAGGCATAATACATTTCAAGAAATCACTGATTAACTCGCCTAGGCAGATCTTCAATGGACACAATTTTTCTGACCTGAGAGAAAACATACTTGTGACAGATGAGAATATACTCCATTTTCACTGATCTCCAGAGACCAGGATTCCATATTATCTCTGATAATTCAGTAGAGAACCTCATAACTCCTACTCCTGGAAAACTTCTTTTTAAATATAACCTCTATTCTTGACGCTGCCCTTTATATATTCTGTTGTTTTCTCTTCTGGAGAGATGAAGAGTTGGCTACCTTTTTCTGTCTACCTTTTCTCTTCAAGTACTTCAAGAACGTTATTAAAGCTCAACGCTGGCCTTGGCTTCAGTACAGAAAACACTCCAGGTACTCAGCTGTCAGTGACAAAATTTTGCTCCAGGGTCTTGTCGCCAAAAAGTGGCCATGACCAGGACTTCAAGCGGGGTGCCTGTTTCCCGACAGAGCACCACGCAGCAAGAGCCATGAGGGTTTTTTTAAAACCATGATCTCTTGTTTCTAGTTCAAGTTAAGAGTTTGCTCAAATGAAATCTGGCAACAGCGCATATGCCCGGAAAAAAACGTAAGACTTCCAGCAGTCATTCACTTTCCAGTAACTTAAATCTTTGCTGTTATACTATGTTTTCATGACGGTGATTTCGGGAGGAAGGGGAAGCTGGAAGAATCCATCAAGGTAGCAAATCAAACACCTACACCTGATTTTAGATACTGGTCTTGATGCTGCTAAATTATAAGCCCGGAAGTAGAAATAAAACACAGGTATGATCTGCTTCACAGACGCTAGGTCACTGAACTCGTAACACTCTGAAAAGGATTACTGTCTTTGTCCTGATTTTAGTACTGAAAGGCTCACGTCCCAAGAGACCCCTCGGTCCCGGGCAAACCTGGCGGCACAGTCACCTCCTGTACATGAGAACCTGCAAGGTCCACGTCTAGAATAACAGTAGTGACGGCGCTAGGTGACAGAAGTCCCTGAACACCGATGAAAACACTGACTCACCTTAGGCTCTCTCTCAATCTATGCGTAGTCTTATCCTAAAGTCCTAATGACTTATTAAAGTACACTGGCCGGATTAAATTGTCCACCCACGGAAGGACTCCAGAGACTTACCCCAAACATCTGTCGGAGGTCGGGGTCCCGGAAGCGGAAGGGAATATTGGAGACGTGCAGCCGTTTAGGGGTGGATTTGCTCTCGGAGTTCTCACTACTTTGTGTCTGTGACTGCTGGCCATCTGTCTGGGCTCCCCCTTCCGTCTGCTAAAGCGAAGAAACAGACAACATGGAGCGAAAAATAAATAGATTACTTCACGAGAATTCTGTAAAATTAAGGCCCCGCCCGACCCCACATGTTCTTAAACAATTCTCAAAGTGTCTTTAAGCAAAAATTAGAGTTGTCCCTTCACAGGGAAAAAAAAACAAAACCAAGCATGATACCTCATTCAAATTGCTATCATTTACAATTCGAGTTATTTTTTTTTTTTTTTAAGATTTTCATTTACTTATTTGACAGAGATCACAAGTAGGCAGAGAGAGGGGGGAAGCAGGCTCTCCGCTGAGCAGAGAACCCAATTCGGGGCTCGATCCCAGGACCCTGGAACCATGACCCGAGCCGAAGGCAGAGGCTTTAACCCACTGAGCCACCCAGGCACCCCTCGAGTATTTTGAATATTTACAGAACATTAATGAAATGGGAGAAAAGAGGAATACTAAGTGACCTGCCCAGGACCACGTGGAGCTCCATTAGATATGAAAGATACCAAAACTGAAGACATAAAAATGGTACCATTATTCTTCGATTCTTAGTGCAGTTTTCCACTTCTGAGATCTTTCTATTTTGAAAGTGAAGAGTCTGTTGTACGTAGTTGAGGTCACTGCATTTTTGGTCTATCATTTTAGGAAATAAGGGAATATCTGAATGTTTCATTCCCTCTATTAGTTCCAGAGTTTATGACTACGGGGTCACCAAAGTATCCCAACATTATTCCTGACGAGGAGACACCTAATGATAATGGGCATTTGGCTTCAACCTGAAGGAGCGTCTGCTCTGAAACCCATCAGCACTCTCCTCCTAATCCATGTGATTGCACCTGACAAACCCAGCTGACGTCAGCCCAGGGAACCCCAGGCTCCTGCAGCCCAGAGCGAGGCCCCATTTACAAAATCTGCTGGGAGAGGCTTTATGAGTCCAGCATAACCTACTGGACAATGTAAACACTGGGTCTATGTATCCCCACAGTGAAAGGGCACATGTAAGCATGGGTGTACTTTTAATCCTCAATCTCTTTTGCAACACGGCAGGCTTTTTTGCCTCCCAATAAATCCTCAAAACAGTTGCGACAGAGAGAAACACTTTGGACAAACATCCAACAGGTGTGAAACAGTCTAGGTATTCAAAAGTATTCATCTGGCAATTTAGAAACCTTATGTTTTCACTATTCCCTGTGAGGTGCACACCAAACCGGACGGCTCGCGGAGCTGATCAGAGTTACAACTGAGTCCCTAACGGATTCTTCTGCGTGACGCAGAACAGAGCCCCCTTCGACCCAACCTTCAAGTCAAAGAAACTGTGAATCACAGATACTTTTGGCTCAGAGACATTACCAACCATCTCGAAATGGAGTTTGAGACTTTAAAATATAAAGGATAATCAGGAATAAACCCGGAATGAATGCTAGCTTTTCAAGTGTCAATCGAAGTGATGGCAGCTTTTATCTCATCCCATTCAGGCCTTGCAGATGGCTTAAATGTGCAATGATTCATTTGATATAAAAATAGCAGAAAAGGGAAGAGCTATGAAGCAATGTTCTGCGAAAGTGTAAGGTTTTCAATCATCAATCTGGGCACAATGCAGACTAAACAAAACAAGTCCATTCAAAGACGAAACTCACTAAGTTACTGAAACAGCATCAGGGACACCAAAGCAATAAACAGTTAAGTAGAAGCATCGACTACAACTCATGACCACCCCAGCACCTTCAGACTCGCCTCTTACATCTCACAGCTGGAGCCAAAGTTTAAAACCACCAGCTCTGACCTGCAGGATGTCAGTGCATCACTCTGATAAAAAGTCACCAGTTTTATATATAATTTACCCATGTAGTTCATATAATGAGGTGGCAGGATAAATGAAAACTGATTACTTCAAAGTATGTTGCCCAACGTACTTGTCACTTCAAGTTTTTACGGCCTTGAAGACACAATTTAAGCAGGATAGAAGCCAGATTGGATCATTTTCTGCCTTGCAGTGAAAACCTACATTTTAAGTTTTTTTCTTATTTAAGTAATCTCAAAACTGCAGTTTAACATACATAGATAAAAATGCAGAAATCAGGAGCATGAATGAATGTTCACAAAGAAAATATACCCAATTGAACTATCAAATCAGATAGCAACAGAACCCCAGGAGCACCCTAGTCACTGTCCCCTTGTGAAAGGGTCCTCACTGCCCCAACTTCTAATTCAGTAGATTAATTTGGCTGTTCCTGAATTGGAACAAAACAAAACAAAACAAAACAAAAAAAGAAAGAAAAGAAAAAGAAAAGGAATTATACAGTATGTACTCTGTTGTGTTTGTCTTCCTGTATGCATTCTGTCTAATACACATACCTACATTGTTGTAATTCATCCATTCTTCTTTCATTTTATAAACATATAGGACTTACTGGAGTTGCTTCCAGTTTTGGGGTATTAAGGATAATGTTCCTGTGAATATTCTTGCTACATTCTCGTCTTTCGGTGCAAATAGCCATTTCTGTTGGGTACATATGCACGTAGGAGTGGATTTGCTGGGTTTAGGACACATACTAAGTTCACTCTTACCAGATATCACCAGTTTTCCCAGTGGCTGTACTGACTTATTCTCGGCTGTGGATGGCTGTGAGAGTTCTATCTGCTCTCAGTATTGTCATTTTCATTGTAAAAATCCTGGCGGGAGGCAGGGGCACCATATTGTGGTTTTTAATTTGCCTTCTTCTCTTTAAACCTCAGATCCTTCCTGCTTTCCACTTAAGAGAATTTTGTTGAAAAGCAGGAACTCCCTGTGAAATAGCAACTATTTCTTCAGCCCATACTACATCATAGACCCTCCTGTAAACCTTTTAATAACACTTATACTTTATATAGTGTTTACTATTTGCCAAACACTGGCCTACGCATTTTATGTCTTTTAATTAATATAATTCTTAACAACAAACCCTAAGAGTAGGTACTGTTTCTTTCTTAAACATGAGAATGTAGGAGGTACTATTTTTTACCCCACTTTTCAGATGAGGAATCTGAAAACCAGAAAGACTGCCCAAGTTCTGGATCAGGGGTTCAAACACAGGCAGTATGGCCCCAGAGTACATGGTCTTAACCACTACGTCATGTTGGAATGTATATGCACTTTTATCTTCTCTAATGCTCACAATAATCTACAAGGCAGGCACTATTACTACCCCAATGGACAGAGGCAGAAAGTAAGACAGAGAGAGGTGAAGCAGGTGCCCAAGGCCCCATTAAGTGGCAGAGCAGCAACTGAAAACCAGGTGGCTTTCATGTGCCAGCCTCCTGCCCAGCATGGCACCCATGCTTCCTCCTTCTCATTAGAAGGGAGAACGCGTGTGGATTCCACTCTTTCTCAGGACCCTCATGGGGCGGAGCAAGACCTCCCCTGGGCTGCAGGCAGGCATGGGGTAAGACAAGGAAAGCTGTCCAAGAATGACATATATCCTATATTTTGAGGGAAGATTAACAGGTCAGGCCACAAAGGGAGGAAAAACAAGACTAAGAAAACTGGCAAAGGCACACTGGCACTCACAGGAAACAGCCAGACAGCTACTAAACGGATACTCAAAGGGGCTGAGCGGCAGATTTCTGTACACAGTGGACATAGGAATATGAAATACACATTGGGGGTGCCTGGTGCTCAGTCATTAGGCGTCTGCCTTCAGCTCAGGTCATGATCCCAGGATCCTGGATGGAGCCCTGTACTGGGCTCTCTGGGGAGCTTCTCCCTCTCCTCCTCGCCTGTGCTCTCTCATTATCTCTGTCTCTCTCTCTCAAATAAATAAAACCTTAAAAAAAAAAAAAAGGGAAATATACATTGAATTTAATTAAACGAGATACTTCCCCGTTCGACATCCCCAACTTTAAGTCTGCCTCAGTATCAACTACTAATTGTTGAAATACATCAGACAGAAGAAGTAAGGAGAAGTTTTTAGGCTGTATCTTTTTTTTTTTAGGCTGTATCTTCGGCAAAGTGGACAGCAGGACTGTTTGTTCTGAGAAAAATCTCAGTGTACACTACTGGTTTGCTTTATTTTCTATTGTTAGCTACTGAGCCACTTTACGGACTGTATAAACAACCTCCCAAGGTTCTGTTCTTCCCTTCTGTGGTCATTTTCTGACCTAATTTATTCGCTAGGCAGGGGATGAAACAGAAGAGGCTGGAGTCTGTGCGCCGCAAGTTTACAGTGAGGGCTGCCCGTGGCACCGCTGATGGGACTAGTGGCGATGTATCTCTTTAAACAATCTGGCTGCCCCAGTGAGGTCTAGCTATCTGTCCACACCGCAGAGGAGCCTAGAGCTTTTTACAACGAGAAGCAAATCAGGTTTATAAGTCTCAAAGCCTCATTCTAGAAATGAAAACTAAAAATGTCTTGGTTTGATGAACTCACACTTTTAAAATTCCTAGAACTGTGAAGTGGATTAATTTTCTGACTTCTCTATGAAACAGTGGCAATATTTCCACTATGGACTGTGAAAAGAGTGTTCTGGGCAATATGAGATGAAGTGTTACTTTCCAAGTCTCTATCATAGTCACATTTAACACATAATCTGTGATAGTAAGGAATCTCTTGATAAATTCAGAAATATACTTTGATTTATGGATTTTCTTCGATATTTATTTTCTTCAATATTTATTCCTTTTGTTTTCTGAGATGACTTTATTTCTTATTTTCACCTCTGTGAGGCTGAAGAGGAAGAAGAAGAAATTTCATTCACAGCAAATTTCTTGAGAATCAGATTCATGTCTGAAAACATCTACTAAATTAATCCATGTCAATGTAGTTTGGGTATCTAGGTTGAAATTCTAGGTTAATTCTAGGTTGAAAAGAATTCCTTTAGAATTCTGAAGGCAGCTCTAAAGCATTGTCTAGCTTTCCATGCTGCTGTTCAGAAACCCGAAGGCATTCTTTCCTCCCATTCTCTCTGGTTTGGAGACTGTCCAGTATGTCTAGTGTGCTATAATTTCATAATGATATCCCTTAATGTGA